GTTCACTGTGCGTTTATATATATATATCTGGGTGGCTAATAATAAACTGTATTATTATACTATACCTGAAACCTGCGTTTCCCTGTGTCAGTCCACACCTTTCTGGTCATTCCTAGATTCCTGACACAGAAGTAGTTCTTTCGCATAGCGAAATCTAGTAATTCCAAAATAAAGTTCCTTTGTATTGTGGGGATATTATCCGCTTCATTTAGATAGTAATCAACTGCAGCCATACCGTCCTCATGATTGATATTACTATATAGTGACGCAACATCTGCTGTTACAAGGAAAGTAGTGTGTTCTAGGCTTAGATTCAAAACTCTTGTTTCATTTTATACTTGTTTCGTATCCTTCAGGTACGATGGTGTTGTGATTACAAGGGGTTGTACATAATGATCAGTGTATTCCCCTATTCTGGAGCATAGGGATCCTATACCACTCACGATAGAGATTTTTGGAAAAGGGCTATGAAAAAACAAAATTAGATCAGGAGATGGAACATGTAGCCAGGCTGGACCATGAAGCGATGTTAATGGAATCCACTATCCAAAGACAAATTAAATTCTGCCCTTTCGTAACCTCTTTCTCAATCCAACATAAAACCATTAGCAAAATCATAAATAAAAATTGGGGAATTCTTAAAAGCTGACCCTGTCTTATCTAGGATTCTACCTGAAAAACCAGAGATCACATTTCGGAAGGCAACTACCCTTAGAAATAAAATAGCCCCAAATGTAATAGACCCTCCAACAAAATCTACTCTTTTTTCAAATATGAAAGGACTTTATCCATGCAATAAATGCATCATTTGCCAATGTGATAAAGAAAAGAAAGGTTGAATCCTTCATATCCTCTTCTACAAGTAAATCTTATGACATTTCTACGTTTATGACCTGTAATTGTCGCTATGCAGTATATCTGCTAGAGTGTCCATGTCATAGACAATATATAGGCCGCACCAACAGAAGACTCAGAGATAGGTTCCGAGAACACGTGTAAAATATCAAAAGAGGTTTCAAAGAGCATTCACTCTCAAAACACTATAGATACCACCATAGCAGAGACCCTTCAACCCTAAAGCTCACAGGAATAGATATGGTCTAAAATCATTGGAGATAATCTAATAAATGTAGACTTTAGACGAAATGAAGACTTTAACTCCCATGGGACACAATGTAGACATTGATATTAATTGTTTTATCGATAACAACTAATTCTCGTCAGGTTTAGTTATTTCCTACTAAGTTATATGGTCCCCAAATTATATATGTTTTCGCATTTTATCATATGGATTACATATATTTTTTAGGTATACTATTCCATTTTGAAGCTATACTAGTCTATAAAAAATTATCTATTATTATCATTTTTTTCTAAAAAGTTTTTATGAGGTTTTTGATTATATATTTACTTTTAATAATGGTTAAATTTTGATTTTTATTTTATTTTATTATATATTAATTTATAAACTAGATTCCATTGTTACTTTTATTATGTCCCATATCATATATACTTGGTTTCTGATCTGATTCAGATCACATTTTTATGTTTTTATTTAATTTGTTTTTATCATATTTTCATTATAAGTTGGCAATATTGTTGTGATCAGTAAAATATACACACTGTAATATTTATTGTACCCACGCAGAACAAACAGCCACACTTAAGCATAGTAATATAAAAAAAACTTTTCATAATTACCAATAGGCATTCTTAGTTTACTCCCTATATTTCTGAGAATGCAATAATATTCTTTCTTTTCTTTTTCCTTAATTATTTACATCTTTTGGAAGTCATTTCCCAGAGTTTTATAAACACCAGCCGTTTCTCCTGTGTTATTGCAATTCAGACCTCACGGAAAATGGCACTTGCACTTACGCGCATGCACACTTTCCTGGAGGTTCTCGGCAAAATGGCGCCCGGTCAATTGCGCGTGCAATTTCAGGGCCATAAAAGGAATAGTTCAGACGTCCGGCGGCAATGGAACACCCATTTTCACAACATACGTGGTACGAAATGCATTAAGGAGGAGCTGCATGCCGTGACGTCATGCCACAGGATCACAGAGGTCCGGCGGCCATCTTTAGATTCCAGCTGGTCAATTTTCTCATGTCAGCAATGTGCTAAACTGTTTTATTCCTATGGATGACATGCTTCTTTCTTAATAAATAATTCAAGTAATACTACACTATGGGCACCCTTCTTTCTGGCTCTGCACCGAGCTATTAGCATTTCAGGATCCCGGGTGACATCTGGCCATAACCATCCCCAGAATCCAGAGGAGGGATATCCATACCAGGCTCCACATTTATCCCACCTTAAATGGGACCTCTGGCTGATTCCAACATATTGTGTATACTGCACATTTAAAATGTGCATCTGGTGAGTGTGCATTTTTATCACCTTCCGCACGTCACCGAATCATCTTTATATGAGTTATTGGAGTATTGGAAAATTGTATTCCTCACTTCGGGATCAGGTTTTATATCACTAAGGACTATTTGCACATCTTTTTTGGGACAAGCATCTATTATCATTTATTTACTGTTTTATAATCACACACCAGTCCACTCCGTAATATTTATTTATTTATTTCACTCTGTATTAATGTCACCCATTATTTCTTGGAATATAGATACATCTAGCACTTTATAATTATTCATCAGTTGTGGATTTTATGATATCATAGCGCTGCACTTTTTTATTATTTATGCTGTTTTGAAGGTCATTGGTTCCTTTTTATGGTGCATTTAGCTGTTATATTATTGTCAAGCGCTCACTGAGTCTCTTTTTATACATTCTTCCCAAATATATTGGCATATATTTAAAATACTACAGTTTTGGCCATATTCAATATATTTCAAAATATCAATAAATTATCAACTGTATATATATATATAAATATACTATATATATATATATATATACTATTGAAATGTGTTTTTTTTATATATGAAAAATATTTTTACAAAAAAAAAAACTTTTTTTTCTAAAATATACAAAGACATTTCTGAAATATTTTTTAAAAAAATGTTAAAATACTTTTTTTTTTAAAAAAAAATAGACTATATTTTCATATTTTTTGTAATATATATAAAAAACGCATTTCAACATGAAATGTATATATAGATATATATATTCCAAAAATGTGGCTTTGTATTTTTAAAGACATACAGTATATTTGAAATGTATTTTAAAAAATATTTTTCATATATTTTGTAATAAAAATGTATTTCAACATACAACATATATACCGTATTTTCCGGCGTATAAGACGACTTTTTGACCCTTGAAAATCTTCTCAAAAGTCGGGAGTCGTCTTATACGCCGGTACACGTCAGGGGGCACTTTTTAGGGGGGCGGCGCGGTGCTGCCGCTGTCCCCCCCTTCCGACGGAAGGGACAACAAGTACAGGGGTGGGCAGAGGGCTGCAGTCTCTTACCTGGCTCTCAGGACGATCCATCCAGGAAGCGCTGCTCCTTCAGTCACTGCGGCCACTCCCTCACTCCTGCCGCTCGGCTCTGCCTCCTCACCGGTGATTGGCCGCCAGAACTGTAGCTCAGGCTGCAGCAGTACCATACTAGAACAGGAGTCAGCAAGTGTCATTGGTGTCAGTGGGAGGAATAGTGCCCCATCATTGGTGTCACTGATACTAATGATGGGGCATTATTCCTCCCACTGACACCAATGATGGAGCACTATTCCTCCCACTGACACCAATGATGGGGCACTATTCCTCCCACTGACACCAACGATGGGGCACTATTCCTCCCCCCACTGATACCAATGATGGGCACTATTCCTCCCACTGACACCAATGTTGGGACACTATTCCTCCCACTGATACCAATGTTGGGACGCTATTCCTCCCACTGACACCAATGATGGGGCACTATTCCTCCCACTGATACCAATGTTGGGACACTATTCCTCCCACTGACACCAATGATGGGCGCTATTCCTCCCACTGACACCAATGATGGGGCACTATTCTTCCCACTGACACCAATGATGGGGCGCTATTCCTCCCACTGACACCAATGATGGGGCGCTATTCCTTCCACTGACACCAATGATGGGGCGCTATTCCTTCCACTGACACCAATGATGGGGCGCTATTCCTCCCACTGACACCAATGATGGGGCGCTATTCCTCCCACTGACACCAATGATGGAATACCATACCATATTGAAATCAAATCTGATGTTTTTTAATTTTTGGTGTGCGTTGGAAGAGGGGTAGTCTTATACGGAGAGTATAGCCCAAACCCTATATTTTAACAGGAAAAGTAGGGGGTCGTCTTATACGCCCAGTCGTCTTATACGCCAGCAAATACAGTATATTTATTGAAATATATTTTTAAATATATTGAATATGGCCAAAATTGTAGTATTTCAAATATATGTCAATATGTTTGGGAAAAATGTTTTTAAAATATATTTCAAATATATTTTTCTTTCATATGGGATATTAGCAATGACCACTGCAGTAGTGTCACTGGTAATGCCAATGGCAGGTAGTCAGCTCCCACTCAGTGTCAGTACCCACCGCACTATCACAGTCCCGCTATAAGTCACTAATCACCACCATTACTAGTATAAATAAATTAATAAATAAATAAATTTGTAGATGCTATAACTTTCAGGCAAACCAATTAACCGCTTCTGTGCCGCCCTATAGCAGAAATACTGCTACAGGGTGGCACGGGTGCGCAAAATCACGTATATATCAGTTTTTCTCGCCGGCACTCAGTGATCACTGAGTATCTCCAATGGGGGAGAACCCTGTATGTAAACAACATGGATGTCTCCCTTGTCAGCTCCTGCACACTGCTTTGTATGGCTCTGCATAGCAGAGCCATACAAAGCAGTGTGCTTACAGTGAAACACAGACACAGCCCACACATAGTAAAACAGCACACAGTTATCCCTTTGAATGCCCCACGTTAACCCCTTCCTGCCCAGTGCCATTAGTACAGTGCTTTTTATTAGTACTGATCACTGTATTGGTGTCACTGGGGATGTCAGTGACACCAAGTCAGTTCCCCCAGTGTCAGAATGCCCGTCGCAGTCCCGCTATAAGTCACTGATCACCACCATTACTAATGAAAATTAAAAAAAAAAAATTCCAGTATATATACCACCATTTGTAAACACTATAACTTTCACATAAACCAATTAATTTACATGTATTAGGATTTTTTTTTAGCAAAGACATGTCACAGAATACATTTTGGCCTAAATTTAAGAGGAAATTTGATTATTAAATTTTTTTTACTGGACATGCTTATTAGCAAAAAGTCAAAAATATTGTTTTTTTCTCAAAATTGTCGGTCTTTTTTTCTTATAGCGCAAAAAAATTAAAACTGCAGAGGTGATCAGATACCGCCAAAAGAAAGCTTTATTTGTGGGAAAAATTTAATTTGGGTGCAGCGTTGCATAAACGCACAATTGTAAGTTAAAGTAACACAGTACCGTAACGCAAAAATGGCCTTGTCAAGAAGGGGGTAAATCCTCAGGAGCGCAAGTGGTTATACACTTATTGGGATTTTTTTTTACCAAAGACACATAGCAGAACACATTTTTACCTATATTTATAAAGAAATTTCATTATTACAATTTTTTTTTTATTGGATAAACGTTTTTTGGTATTTTTTAGTTTATATAATAATAAAAACCCAGTGGCAAATACCACCAAAAATAAATTCTACAGATGCATGTGTGCATACATGTGCGCTTATGCGGTTGCACTCACATGCATGAGTATGTGCACCTTTGCACATGAAGGACCACGAAGACCATTAGTGCTCCGGATACATGCAATCCCTTTTTCATCACATAGAGCACCTACTCTGGGATCTTTGTTTATAAATTGCAGCACAAAAATTGTTGTTTACACAATTATTTGCATGGAATGCTCATTACAATATGTAGAGTGTACTGCACATTCACTGAGAACAAGAATAGGCGATACCCCAAATCAAACATTTATTATATTGCAGCTTACCATTGCTTAGATGTGATAGATGCATTTGTTTTTGTTTTTTATTTATTTTATTTTCATCTGGTGATCCAACCCGTAAGCCTGTTGTTTTTCTAAAGAATAAGCACTCTTGCATGTGTGTCAGTTTACAGGCATGAGCGAGACAAACCATTTAACACTAGCAGGGGTGCTTACAATTATCAACTTTTATTTATTTTTCTAAAACCATTATCCCAAAATTAAAACACTGTTTGCTGCAATTGCTTATAAAGTATTAGCAGGAGTTTGGCTTCAATGTGTTAGTGTATTTAAATCTACTAGTGTGTCTAACACTCCTCTTCCCCCCAGAATGACAATGTTGCTGTCCAAAGGGGCCCCTGTGCTTCTTTATCCAGAGTGGAGACACTCAAATACAGGAGTTGTGTTACTGGCCAGATCACAAGGTGAAAACAGAGGGAAAAAAGCCTAAAAAAAGAAAACAAATTCAGCCACCACATCTAATGATTAGTAAGCTGCAATATATTACATTTTTGGTTTTTGTCTAATACCACTTTAAGACCATATTTGCATCAATGACTCAATCATATATACAGTATGTTTGACCTGATTTCAGCAAGCTAGTATATAGTTCATTTTTCTTCCCAGTAACAGATGTCACTGTTAAACAAATATGTGCAGTTATTTCTATTACATGAAGGCTGGCTACTTGTAAATAACTTAAACTAGAACTAGCAAAGTTTGCCCATTCTCGAAGGGCTAATTCAGAATGGTGTATTACTTTTAAGAGATCACTAGGTATGTGGTTTAGGTCAGTGGTCTTCAAACTGCGGCCCTCTGCATGCCTTTATCCAGCCCTTGGGGCACTATTCCTCCCACCGATATGAAACACTGTTCTTCCAACTGACACCAACAATAGGGCACTATCAGGGGAGGACTGACAGCTCATGGAGTCCCTGGGCAATAGGGAATCATGGGGCCCCGTGTCCTTGACCACACTCAAAGCACACCCAAAAAAGCCTATAAAAAGGTACCAGGGGCATTTCATGGGGCCCCCTACTGACCCTGGGCCCTCGGGCAGTGCCCGAGTGCTCTAACGGTCAGTCCGCCCCTGGGCACTATTCCTCCCAATGATACCATGTGGTGCCTATGTGATGATGTTTACTAATGCCAGGAAAATTTCCACTCCCGTTGGCCACAGTCCGGCCCTCTTAAAGTCTGAATGACAATAAACTGGCCCTTGGTTTAGAAAGTTTGGAGACCCCTGGTTTAGGTAGTGTTTGATGATACCTCCATATAAACAATGTTTTCTCTAAGGCTTTAACCATCTCCTCCTCATATAGTCCAATGAAGTGGTCCTCTCGTTCTAGGAGGACGTCATATTACATCCTCCCATTCTCACCATGCATGCACAGCTCAGGGAACGCGCAGCACGGCGATCGGCGATGCGCTGTGTCCCTCGGACACAGCGGATCACCGATCCACGGAAAGAGCCGAAGATGTCAGCTCTGTGATTTCATCAGCTGTGTCCAATCACAGCCGTTCACATGTAAACAGGGAAATGCTGGTTATCAGCATTTCTCTCCTCTCGAGTGGAGACACTGACAGCTCGAGAGGAGAGGAGAGCCGGTAATCAGCATTCCACGGAGGGGACATCTACACTGATCATCAGAGCACTGATGATCAGTGTGCCCTGATGATCAGTGTAGCCCCAGCAGTGCCACCTGTCAGTGTCCATCAGTGCCAGATGTCAGTGCTCATCAATGCCACATATCATTGCCCATTTGAGCTGCCTTTCAGTGTCACCCATCAGTGCTGCCAATCAGTGCCGCCTATCAGTGAGCATCAGTGCCACCTATCAGTGCCCGTCAGTGCCACCTAACAGTGCCAGTCAGTGCGCCTAACAGTGCCAGTCAGTGCCGCCTAATCAGTGCCATATATCAGTGCTGCCTTTCAGTGCCCATCAGTGATGCCTGTCAACGCCCATCAGTGCCACCTACCAGTGCCTCCTCATCGGTGCCACCTATCAGTGTCCATCAGTGCAGCCTATCAGTGCCCATCACTGCAGCCTCATTAGCGCACATCAGTGAAGGAGAAAAATCACTTATTTACAAAATTTTATAACAAAAACTAAGAAATTTTTTTTTTTTTCAAAAATTTTCATTGGTTTTTGGTTTGTTTAAGAAAAAAATAAAAAACCCAGAGTTGATTAAATACCACCAAAATTAAGCTCTATCTGTCACAAAAAAAAATTATAAAAATTTCATATGGGTACAGTTTTGCATGACCGCGCAATTGTCAAAGTGTGACAGCACTGAAAGCTGGAAATTGGCCTGGGCAGGAAGGAGGTATAAGTGCCCTGTAGGCTTTTGGTTAAAAAAAAAAAAAAAAAACATGGGGACTGACAGTATGATATACTGGCCACTCATAGTGTCGTACTTAAACAATAAAATCACCCTGTTTAATTACAAGTTACTCTTACATTGTTTTGGATGGTTACCAGCATCTGAATCAAGTTTCCAACCAGGAAAATGGCCGCCGTCCCTCAAAAAAATGTGATGACGTCACACGCCGAAGCTCCATCCAACGCATTTCGTCATCCAATTGATGTCGTCAGGGACACTCCTGATGACGTCAATTGGATGACGAAGTGCGTCGGATGGAGCTTCGGCGTGTGACATCACGTTTTTTTGGACGGACGGCGGCCATTTTCCTGGTTGGAAACTTGATTCAAATGCTGGTAACCATCCAAAACAATGAACGAGTACCTTGTAATTAAACAGGGTGATTTTATTACTTAAATACTATACTATGTATCAGGGCTCCAGGTATGACCAGAGATGTGTGGACTGACACAGGGAAACGCAGGCTTCAGGTATAGTATAAACACTACAATTTATTAAAGACTAAACAATACATAAATGCAGTGCAAGACTAAACATAAACACAGTACAAACAAACCAAACCTCCAACAGATAACAATAAGTACAATACTAAACGTAGTCGGGCAGGCCGGGTCGGTAGCAAATGGGCAGGCAAGGTACAAGGAGCAACTGGAAGAGTAGTCAGGAATAGCCGAGGTCGGTACAGGCAGAGTTCATCCAGAGTCAGGATTCAAGCAGGCAAAATCAGGATACAGGGGCCAAGGGAAACAATACACCAAGGCACTGACTGCAGGCCTGGCCACTCCTTAAATACACCTCCTGCAATCAGCCTCAGGTGATGACTTGATTGCAGGAGTGAGCTTCTGGCTGCTGAGAGCACCCGCTGGCCAGCCCTTGTACTGCAGCCCACACGGCAGGTGAGTCCCACCACCAGTGGTGAGTCCATTCCTGACACTATGAGTGGCCTTTTTCTTTTATTCTATATCTAAATATTGGATGGGAGTCTTCTTTTAGCACCGGTTTCATATCTTTAAAGGGGAAGATTGATATCCACCTGGATGAGGATTGCTGGTTCCATGATCTACATTTTCATCTCCCATTTGAGTTGCCTATATAGACCGGTGGTAAGCGGCTGGTAAGCGGCTGAACCATTTGGGTGTCCTGGTGATGGTGGATCATGGGAATATTTTTGGGACTTTTCTAACTGGAACTTTTTCTGATTTATTGGACTTTATGTTTTTTGATTAGCACTGCAATTTTATTTATTTAACAATAAAGGAACATACCTGAGGATGCATGGAAACACTGAGGAGTTTCACTGAGGCACTGGAGTTACATAATGACACAGGATACTCTGGGGTCACTGGGTGATAAAGGATGATTTGGTTGTACAGGGCACACAAGAGTTACAGGTGGAACTGAAAATACAGACATCACTGGCACCACAGAAGCTCACAGGGGTTACTATAGACACAGGAGGGTAGAGGGGTCAGTGAAGACAAAGGAGATCACGGGGTCACTGGAACACAGGAGGGCATGGGACCAATGGAGACACAGGAGGACATGGGGTCAATGGAGGCACAGGAGTCACTGGGAACAAAAGAGCCCACAGGGGTTACTGGAGACCAAGGAATGCACCAGGGTCACTGGAGACACAAAAGGGTACAGGGGTC